TGCTGGTCACACTAAAACGTTTGTTTTTCAATGATTTAATAGCTGTTACAGGCCATTTGTATTTCATTTGTGCATAAATCCGTATTAAATTTTCTTGTTTGCAATATACTCAGTTTGAATTTGTTATGTTATATAAATGTTTTATGTTGTATCTGTAAGATATATAGAGAATACTTCATGGAAAGTGCGGACGTACGGTATTTACACACGAGTTGTTGACGTATCAGAAATCTCACTCGTTCGCTGCGCTCACTCGTTCGATTTCTGATACAAAAACAACGAGTGCGTAAATACCGTACAAAGCACTTTCCATGTGGTATTGTGTTTATTATATATATACTGAGATTTTAATTCTTGTTTATCGTCTTTAATGACAGACCAAGACAAAACTCTGTTACATGAATTCAAGTTAAAAACTCATGCAAGGATTATAACATAAGCTTGAATTTCTGCCAGAAATTTAACATTACAGCAAGCAAATAATGTTAAAATATTATTTCTAAACTTTAATCCGAGTCGGACTCCTCAATTCGGATTCTCTTCCACCTTTTTTCGGTGGTTTCGGTGACGGAACTCCTGGTTTGAATGGTCTGCGAAGAAGTAAGCGCATTAATGGTAATCGTAAATTGTCCTCCACTTATTACTGCTCCATCAAAAAAACTCATCGGGGTTTTACTAGTGCAAGTGCTCGCAGCAGCAGTTTCGTTAGTTGCAGTAGTTACTTGTGTTTGCGACGATACTCGGCTTAAGATGCCCGATATGTTTTTTTGTTGATTTAGGTTCAAGCTACTATAGTTTGTTATGCTTTGCACGTTCTTGTGCCCACTTAACTGCATTATATGCGTTGGCGGAATTTCACTGTCATTAAGTTTTTGAATCATGTGTTTACGAGCACTATGGTTCGTGAGTCGCTCGTTGTTGATGTTTGCTTTTGAAGCCATTGTTTTCATCAAAGTTTTTAATTTATTTACACCCATAGGTGCCGACTTGAACCAGTGTTTTTTGGAGCCGTCTGTTTTCGTGTGGTTTATTCCCAAGTAGAATGGCGAATCGTCAGCCATCATGTTTTCCGGTCGCTTTTCACGGTAAATTTTGTACGCCACGACAGGATCTCGTTGATCACCAGTTGAAAACATTTTCGGGGAAACTTTTCGAACGTTTGAGGCGTCTACTCCAGACCTTGTTTTTGTCTGTCTTTCATTGTAAACTAGATAGTCGTTACCTTGTGCGTCCTTACAAAGCTTCACATCTCCCCAGCACAAATCCCTATGCTCTTGACAACCACGCATTCCAAAATGAATGGTGTTGTTCAGCCAAACAGTATTCAACAATGATTCAGCAGAAGAAACTCCAAGCAAATTGTTTTCGTGAAGTATATCGACTTCTTCGTCCGTGATAGCCACAGCGGCTTTGTCCTTGTTGCCTCGGCCTGCTTTCTTCAGCTCTTTTTGTTTAGCCTGTAAACACTTTCTAAACAATTCAAATTCTTTATCGTTAATGATACTCTTAGTATAATTATTTTTCTTCAAATGTCTTTCAATACTTGAAACAAGGCATCTTAAACTTGAAGGCTCATAATCCTCTCCGTCTTTACGTCTCACAGAACGAATAAACTCCGCAAGGTGCTTGTTTAATTCTGCGGGCTCTATGTCTTGCACTTCTCGCTCGTCGTTCTTTTCGTTTTTCAAAAACGTTTCCAGCAATTTCACATCTCGTTTCGTTTTCTCTTTCGTATTCCTGTTTTCGAGACTTTCCACGTAATCCTCGACTGAAGTAGCGTGATCAACAAACCTTTTCTCGTTCATGTTTTTAAGCTTCAACACTTGCGAAAGATTTCTTTAACAAAGTGAAATGCTGCCAGCTGAATGAAAATCACCTTGTTACGGCTCACACGTCAAAAAACATGATACGCAGCACCTGATTGGACGTATCGTTTTCCTCACACGTGGAAAAAGCAATACGCGCCATTTGATTGGCTGTCGGGTTCTTAGACCAGCTTGTGAACCAAATTTATTTCGCGCCTCTTCAATGGGTAAATCTCAGTACATATATAATAAATATATAACGATTATTCACCGAAGTGGAGGTGGCTAGTATTGGATATTTACCGATGCCGCGAAAGCGGCGAGGTAAATATCCAATACTAGCCACCGACACTGAGGTGAATAATTGTTTTAGTATATGCTAAAACAGTGAGATAATAAGCCTAAAATGATCTCAAATGACGATTTTTAATTCGTTTATTTACAACTTTGGCGCGCAAATTAAACAAACATGCGCGCAGCTCAAAATAGTCACATGACACATCTGATGATGAAATGTTCATAATTTTGTGTTTAAGACTTTACAACCGTAAATGAAAGATCAAGCTATGCGAAAGGAAAAGTCCTGGCTTTACGCCATCTTTGTAGATTGTTCTTTTCGCTGTCTGTTACAAGTTTTATTTGCTGCTGCTTCCTCCAAAGCTCACCTTAAAGTTGAGATTACAGTTATGGAACGTGGCTCCGGGAATGAAGCCATGGACAAGATTCTGTGATCCATCTTGAATGGACTGGAAGGAATAATTTGCAGTGGTCGTAGCTACTGATTGCGGCTGGCTCGATGACGACGCAACGGTTTTCTGAGGGACTGTAACAGCCTTGTCACGTTTTCGTGCGGACAAGTAAAATTTTTGGAGGCATTTGTTAAGCTGAATTGGTGACATCTCCTCAAAGGGAGTTTTGAACTCTTCTTGCATCTGAAACCATTCTGTAAAAAAAGTAAGCTTATTTATAAACATGTCAGCTAACATTAAGTAACGAAAGACATAATTTGCATTTGTAAACAAAAAACTTTTTCACCGGTTTCATCGATAAAATTCAGGTTAAACAGACAAAGCTTTACCTATGAAAACTGCTAGACCGAATTTAGTCGCTTTTTTAGTGTTGTCTGGTATGGCCTCTTCATTTATTTTCGAAATTTCGTCGCTAGTTACCGTGGCAAACCGAGACTGAGCCATTTTTGTCGTACATGTAACTTGCAAGAGTTTGGCGCCGCTCGGCTGGAGACGAATCAGTGAATAGTGCAGGATATTCCGAGATTGAACAGCCAATCAGAGCGCGCGAAAAACACTATCCACTGTTTTAGCATATACTAAATATATATATAGCAATGTCTGGTTTCAATGTAAGACTAGAGAATGTTTAGTTTCTTTTAAGTTCCTTAGTATGTCTTGCATGGGTAGTTTTCAGTGACCATTTCATTGCAAAAAGCTGTTATTTTCAAACAAAAATATTTTCTGGGCCACTTATTTGTGTTCTTGTGACGTCTTTGTTATTTTTTCAAGGGCAGTGAGTTATATTTTTTTCACATACTTATTCTTCATTGCACGTATTATTAATGTACAAGATAAAAAATAATTATGATTTTGTTATATTTTAAATTTACCCGGACTTAAGTTTTCACAATCTGTCCAACTGTAATGCTCAATATTGGAGATAGCTCAATAAGGTGTTAACAGAAGAATACTGATGTACACCAACAAATCCAAACTTAATTAGTGAAAACAGATCATCTGGCCTTGAAACTGGGCAGCAAAAAATAAAAGCCATAGCAGGTGATGAATTACACGACTTGATATTAAACTGTGCTGAAGTGTAGAACCGATAATATTAGTCTAAAAATGATCAGTGCTATCATCTGAGTTGTAATGCCATTTTCTTACCGAGTCACGAAATTTTAATACAAGCTAATACGGGTCACGGAGGTGGAACTATATTCAATACAGATGTTTGCTCGCGGGGGAAAAATTGAACAAAACAGAACACGAACGTGAGAAAAAATAATTTGTTCCTTCGCTATTGCTTGCCAGCAAATGAATGCCACGGGTTAATGGCTAACGTCCGCTGGATAATCTCTCTGACGATCCAGTGTAATGTCCGCCATCTTGTTTTGTCTCTTTGGTAGCACCCAGACCCTTGCATCACAGCTAGATCGCTCGACCCCGCTCGTTTTAACGCCCTAGCTTATTACGCCCTGCCTTCAACATACCTTTCAACCGTGTGGAAGCTGTTTCGCATTTTTAATTTGGATAATGATAATAATGAGTTCATTTATCACTAACTGCTCATAACGCTTCATACGAAATCTATTTACAAATCATGCTACAAACATCTATTAACAAAATCTGTTTACAATAAATACTCCAGAAATGGCGAATTATTCATCATTAGCTAATGAAAATTCTAACATTACAAATTAATGACATAAGCTGCTAAACAACTTTTAAAGGTAGGCTTTCTTGAAGAGATGGGTTTTAAGCTGACGTCGGCAGCTCGGATAACAGGAGCTAGCGCCAAAAGGACATGCCTACTTCAACATACATCACCCTCGTGGTCATCTACTCAGTCCAAGCAATCATTATCATTGCTGGAAACACGGTCACAATCTTTGTATTCTGGACTCAGAGATCCCGCCTAAAATGAACTTATTTTCTTTTGATTAACCTCGCAGTCGCCGATTTACTTGTGGGGATTACAGAACTTATAGTCATAGGAACTTTAAAATCTCATGATCTAGGCAAGGGTATTTTACTGCTGAACCGATCAAACTTCTCAGCGGCTTTTACACTTTTCTTTTCGAGCACGTCCGTCTACTTTCTAGCGCTTGTGTCCATGGAACGTGCTTTCGCCGTCTTACGGCCAATCCGTCATCGCATCACAAATCGTCGAGTTTACATCTATAGCATCGTTATCGTTTGGGCCATTGCTCTTGTCTTTTTTGGTCTTATTATGTTATCCCTTTATTATCAAGAGGTAAATGGGGTATATGTTTTTGTCACTGGTAGGACGTCGCTTCTTATTTCCATCTTGATAATTTGTTCAAGTTACCTTAGCATACGCACTCGATTGCGTGCACCCTCACCCGTCGTGATAGACAATCATAAGCATTGAACAAGGGAGCACAACTTACGGCTATCAAAAACACTTTATATTGCAATTGCTTCATCGCTTGTGTTTTGGATGCCTGCCTATATTGTCTTCTCAACGAAAGGATTCTGTCCTGGATGCTTTTCTGCCCCAGTGGTTATTTGGCTCGTGGAAGCTTTATATCTGGCAAATTCTATGGTGCATCCTCTCGTCTACAGTTTCAGAATGAAAATTTTCAAAGACGTATTTAACAAATTCCGGAGAAAACGACGACAGAACATAAGACCAATTCAGCAAAATAATTTGGGCTTTAGTCTAGAAGGTTCATTTACTCCAACACTTTTGAATACAATAATTTGAGCAGCCTAAAGTAGAGTAATAACGCTCACTGTATATTATAATTGATTAAGTATTAAAAGAGGTGTTGACTTGACGCGGAGAAAAAGACGACAGAACACAAGTCCAGCTCAGCAAAATAGTCCGTGCTTTTGCTCAATACTTTCGACCTGCCTGAAGTAGAAAAATATTTATATTTACTCTACTTTAGGCTGCTCAAATCATTGTGTGTTGGAGTAAATGAACCTTCTAGACTAAAGCCCAAATTATTTTGCTGAATTGGTCTTATGTTCTGTCGTCGTTTTCTCCGGAATTTGTTAAATACGTCTTTGAAAATTTTCATTCTGAAACTGTAGACGAGAGGATTCACCATAGAATTTGCCAGATATAAAGCTTCCACGAGCCAAATAACCACTGGGGCAGAGAAGCATCCAGGACAGAATCCTTTCGTTGAGAAGACAATATAGGCAGGCATCCAAAACACAAGCGATACAGTATCTTTCTTTGGTCTACAAATACAGTATTAATACTGAGAAATAATACAAGAACGATATTTTCTTGAGATCGGCAAGTACAGTGTACTGCGACCTTTTCAACTGTGCGCGAATTGTTCCGATTTAAGGGAACTAGACAACAGAACAAGAAAAGACATGCCTTCATCGACGTCCATTTTCTTCGTGGTCATCTTCGCACTGGAGGCAGTCATGATCATTATTGGTAACACGTTTACTATTTTCGTATTCTGGAATCAAAGATCCCGCTTAAACCGGACTTATTTCCTTTTGGTTAACCTCGCAATTGCAGATTTACTTGTAGGAATTACAGAACTAACAGTCTTGGGAGCTTTCAAATTTGAGGTCATGCTAGAGAGTGACTCACTATTGAGGATGCAAAGACAATCAAATCCTTCGGTTGCTTTTCAACTTTTGTTTCCGAGTACGTCTGTCTTATTTCTCGCACTTGTCTCCTTGGAACGTGCTTTCTCCGTGTTATGGCCAATCCGTCATCGCTCCATAAGCAGTCGAGTTTACATAAAGAGCATGGTTTTTGTGTGGGCAGTTGGCCTTTGTTTCTTTGCTTTAACCCTCGTCGCCATTCATTACCCAGAGGTGAAACAGGAATATGTCTTTATAGCAAGTAACACAGGTCTTTTTATTTCCCAACTGATAATCTGTACAAGTTACCTTAAAATACGCAATCGGTTGTGCGCATCATCACTAGGGCTTGATATTCATAGCCATCAATTACAGGCACACAATCTACGGCTTTCTAAAACGCTTTGCATCACAATCGCTTCGTCACTTGTGTTTTGGATACCTGGTTTTGTAGTTTATTCAACTAGAGAATTTTGTCCTTTATGCTTTCCTGTACCAGTAGTCTGGTTCGCGAACGCTATGTATCTGGCAAATTCTATGGTGAATCCCTTCGTCTACAGTTTCAGGAAGACAATATTTAAAGACGCTTTAAGGAAATTCTGCAGGAAAAGACAACAGAGCATAGGGCCAGGCCAGCAAGTTGGCATTCACACAGTCTTGTATTTTGACTATGAAAAGCCTGTCACTTATTCAACCAAAGGTATACCAACATCTACGGTTTTGAGTTGATATGTCAAACTAGGGATAGCAATATGTTGACGCTGATTGTAAAAAATGATGACTGAAATAGGCTGTGGTTGCATTGTGTTTGCAGTTGAAACAATGCGAGGTATAAACTTGTGGAAAGCCCATTTGCACTGATCAACGCATAGACTATTCACAGTCCCCTACTTTTCGTAAGATCGTCAGGATGGAGCGCTTACCGCCGGAATGGGTGCCATCGTGGTCGACGATCTTACAGAAAAATAGGCGACTGGGAACAGTGTAATTCAGTAACACACGGAGCAGTACTGTAAAATACCATAGTAAAAGGGAGTTTTAATTTTGAATGTTAGTAGGTAGTTTTAATTGCTCAACGTTTTTCCGTAAGACTTTTCGTAGTGAGGCATGAAATTATTGATTCAAACACAGTTTGAACAGTAATAATTGAAAACTACCAGGACAGCCAGCGAATACGACCACTACAAAAACTGTGTGAAAAACTTTCTCCAGGTTGCATCATCTTATAATTAAACTCTTTTTAATCTCTCTATTAAGGCTTTGCAAGGGGGTGGTGGATAAATAAACACGAATGATTTGCAATGACAATTATACCTTAAACCCCTGTTGCCCATTAGAAGTAACTTTTACGAGATGATTCAGTAATTTTTAAATCAATTTTACTTTTTATTCATACAACTTAAAAAAATGTTGTGTGTATGAAACAACCATCTTTTTTGCAGCAGTTGCGCATCCAAGCAATAATTCGCCCATTCAAAGGAAGTGCACATACAACAGGGCATTAATGCTATCTTGTAAGCCATTTCTCTGAAATAAAGCAAAGAAAGCAGAGAGGGGCGTCTAAATATCATGGTGTGATATTCTTAGGGCTACTATAGCTGTGTCCGGGACAATCTGATTTAAAAATCCGTACTGGCAAGGAGAATTATGGTATTTAAAAAGGTACAAAATAAAGCATTTAGAATGGTGGTGTCTTCAGGCGGAGTAGAGCGTAAATTAGAACGATTTATGCTCTACCAGGGCATCCAGCAATATGAGCGATTTTTAGTCACACAAAAGAGACTGTGTAGATTCGAGAATTGCATAAGGAGTTGCCAAGCGCATAGCAAAAATAATGTATTACTGAAACTGCAAATGCTGTTCTTCAAAAACGGCAATATCAGATGTCCCAGGTGAAATACCCACTTGTCACTTGTATATGTTTGCAGAATATATACAGTTGTTTGGAGTAAAGACCTAAATCACTCGTATTGCACTAAAAAAGCTAACTACGCAGGCTTCATGATGGGCAATGCACAATTTCAAAGAAGACCGCGAGGATATTGTAAATGGACATAGGTCCCTCTCTACCAGGAGACACCAGCCTGGTTTCTGGCGTGGAAAAGACCACCTTGAAGAGGGTGTAAGGGTCTTTGATCTTTCGTTAGTAATCCGTCTTGTGATATGGTGCGACATTCGTGGATCCTGAAATGTTTAGAGATGGTCGGAACGCCAAGAGTATCATCGTCATCGCTGTCAGTCGGTTCGACTGAGACCGTTCTAGGGAGCAGCATGGTTTGATAAGTCTCCTTCAGGTAGGCCTGTCGTTGGCTTTCTCCTGCCATCGAGATCGATGTTTCTCCATTTCATGCTTCTCTTTACAACATCTTTGAACCTTAATCTAGGCCTCCCTTGATTACGCATTCCCAAACAGAGTTGAAAGTATGACGGCTGCCTTGGTAGTCTGTTAATATCTATCCTATGCACGTGACCCAGCCATCTGAGATTTTTCTCAATCAGAAAGTCAGCCATTGATGGTAGTCCTGTAAGGCAGAGAATTTCCACATTCGTGATCTTGTCCTTCCATGGTACGTTCATTATTACTCTTAGATGTGCCATGATATAAGCATGGAACTTCTTCACTTGACTCTGATATATTGCCCATGTTTCAGCACCGTACGGGAGGGAAGAAAGGACAACAGCTTGATTGACTTTGCACATGACTTTAATAGACAAATGCCGGCCTTTCAATAGCCTGTCCGGTAGTTTTACAAAAGCAGCACTTGCATTTCCCATCCTGTATCTGAGCTGGCATTGTTAGAGATAGTGCTTCATGGGCATTTGAAGTCGTAACACTGCACCTGGGCCTCTTGATTGACAGTTATAGTTGTTGGCTCAGGAGCTGGATCTAGGTTTTGCATTGGCTGGCATAAGCGCTCTGTTTTCTTATTGTTGATCTCAGGAAAAATTGGGCGGCAGCTCTGGTGAACCTGTCCACCAGATTCTGAATATTATCAGCACTGTGGGGAACTACAGCAAACATCATTTCCCTCACTAGCATCTAGGTTGTGCGTGTTTTTGCTCTGAAAAGGGTTACGTTAAACAGTTCAGTATCAATACGAATTTGGATGAGGATACCGTCCCCAACACCGTCAAAGGCTACTTTAAGCATCGCAGTGTCGGAGCGAGCACGCAACCTTGCTTAACTCATCAGTGATAGCAGTTCCTTGGAGATGGAGTTTCCTTGAGTCACATGTGTTGCTTGCATTTTGTTGTGCAGTGCCCTCACCAGACTGATAAATTCAGCAGTACATACATACTTTCAGAGCAGTACATACATACTTTCCGAGCACTTGTATTAAGAGCCTTTGTGAATTAGGTCGATAAAAATGGCATACAGGCTTGTAACTGTCGCAGACAGAAGAAGATCATATCCACACTGCCTCTACCTCTGCGAATTACCACATCGAGTCTCACACAAGATATTGGGAACTATGTGTTCGTTCAATCTGTTGAGGAATATGCGAACCAAGATATTTTCGGCTATTGAGAGAAGAGGAATACCTCGATAATTCCCACAGTCCTTTCTACTTCCCTTCTCGAAGACTGACACGATAATGGGATCTTTCCAGTCTTTTGGTGTTTCCCAGATCTGCAAAACCAGTTTGTACAAGCTAGAGGCGAGTATCACAGCCACAATGTTTCCAGATTTCGGCAGCTATACCACACCTTCCAAGGGCTTTACCTTCCTTTCTTGCACTGATGGCATTCACAGCTCCTCCAATTCAGGATTTCCATCAACAAGTGTAATGTTCGGCCTCGTTGCAATGGTGTCCACGGCAGAGCGATCAACCTTTCCTGTCATGTTAAGTAGCTGGTCAAATTGGTTTGCAAATCTATCGA